CACGAATGGACCGCGAGCACTTTTTCTCCTGATTTTGTCTTTTATAAGGATCATTTTAAGATGGGTCTTTGACTACCATTTTGCCAGAGTTTCGATCGATCTTCAATCTCTATGCAATCATTTATGCCCAGGTTCTTCCTAGCTTAATTGCTATCATCATGACTTATGCACTTTTTTATCAAAAGATAAGAATCCTATTATTGATCGAACTCTTCGACCATTTTTTTCTTTTCAAATGGGTCGCAATGAATATATGTAGTTTGTTGCTGGTCCTAAGATTTGATTTATGGGACTTCAAAACAAGTTGATGGATTGAAAAACAAAGTTCTAGGCAGCCTTGTGTGTGAACGAATAGGAAATGCGCTCTGCACTTCTTCGACAGAATGTGAGGTGAAGAAAGTGAATACCTTATCAGTGAATGTTCATGGTTATAGGGCACTGATTTAAGGCCATATCCTTTCTTTGTTTCAATACCTAGATCCAAACTTATTTGAACACATGATTCGTCTGGATGTTGTTACCATGACTGAGGATTGTGGAGATCAGCCGACAACACGGAGGTTGCTTGAGGGATGGAGTTGCTGAAGAGAGGGCATCTTTGAAGAGGCCTTGGGGGAGAGGTAGTCCTCCCCCACTTGGCAGAGGTAGGGGTCAGTTAAATTCTATTAGGTCAGTCGAGGAGGATGCTAGAGGTTGGTGTTACCTATTTTCTTACTTGTTTATGTGTGAAACTTATTTATGTGGCTCTTGTATGACTTGCTAGATTATTCAGAAGGAAGTGGGAAGGAATCCTTCCGATCGCCTAACAATCCTAACTCCGGAGATTCACCAGTGGGTACGTTGGCTGGATGAGTTTTGGTTGTGACGACGGAGACCTCATTCACATCTCTACACGAGCAAGGGGAGGTGAGTCGTGCCATCGTCCTATCTTTGTTGGGACTGAATCTGAAGAAAAGTGAGGGGTTTTGGATTTGATGGAGAGTGATTTCCGTTGGAGGGAAGGAAGAGCTCCTGCCCATGATACCAGATTTCCCCCTTCCCCGGTGTAAAGGGGGGTGGATCCACCTGACTGGACATTCTCGCACAATCGCGGAGCTAGAGTTTAGATGAGTGGTGACTATGCTCTCATTGACAGGGAGACTGAGTGGTTCCCAAACACTCATTTGAATGGGGACTACCCCTCAATTTTGATGGACATGTTATGGTGTTTTACCTACGAGAAGACCTTGACATCGATGGACAAGAGAGATATGTTCCAAGCGATCAATCGATCTCATGCCCTCACATGGCAGGCTTTACACTTTCAGGGCCTCCTTTTAGATAAAGTCAAGGAGAATGTTGGGAGATCTGCTTCACGAATTAGGAAGTGGAAACATAAAGATGCTATGATGGAGGAAAGACTGAGACTTTCTATCTAGGAGAGGAAACTTGATGCTCAATAACATGAGGTTTAGGTGGCGGCCCACCTAAAGGAAAATGTAGAACTGATTAAAAAGATGTCTTCAATGGTTACCCAAAAGGCATACGTTCAGGGTCTTTCTAGCCATATCACAGTCAATACCTCCCTCGTGATTGAAAGGTTTGCCAAGCATAAATTGGTAGATCCTAAGTGGAAAAAGATGGAAGACTTTGGCACGCTTATTTCCAACTTGGAGGATGGAGATGAATCAACATGTATGTAGTCAGATGGCGTCGATGGTATGGAAGGAACTTGGGAGGCAGACTCCGGGGAGTCTTCAAATGTTTAGGGTTAAAGTGGTCCCTTTTGTATATTTTGCTCTTTTTTGTTTTGATTTTTGTTGTAATTGTTATTTGTAATTGTGAATAAACTTCATGATATATGTAAACTTTTGAGGATGGGGGCTTCATCAACCCGACCTTTTCTCTTTCATCTGGTGATTGCTAGAACGTATGAGTGATCTCACTTGTTATGAATTGTTGAAGAGTGTGTATGTTTTTCGTATATACGGTCTCTATATGCCTCTTGCGGAGCTTGTCTTTGTCGGGTGTTAACATTGTACATTCATCGTGGAGCTTGTCGCTGTAGGGTGATGATATGTCCCATTAACCATGGGCAATTGTTACACACTGCTCGCAGAGCTTGTCGCAGCCGGTGTTAGCATTGTAGTTTGGACGCATGACTATCGTTTGTAGACCCCTCACGAAGCTTGTCATTGCTAGGTATTAACATTGTTGTTTAGGCGTAGGAAGATCATTGTACATCCCTCACAGAGCTTGTCATTGTCAGGTGCCGATACGTCCTATAGGCCGCGGGAGATCGTTAGACACCCCCTACGGATCTTGTCGTTGCCTGGCGTTAACGTTGTAGTTTAGACACATGACCATCATTTGTACACCCTTTGTTAAACTTGTTGTTGTCGAGTATTAACGTTGTAGTTTGGGTGCAGGAAGATCATTTCTACACCCCTCGTGGAATTTGAGGTTGTTGAGTGCCGATATGTCCCATAAGTCACGGGCAATCATTAGACACCCCTCTCAGAGCTTGTCATTGCTGGGTGTTAACATTATAGTTTGGGCACATAGTGATCGTTTGCACTCCCTTCGTGGAGCTTGTCACTATCGGATGCCAATATGCCCATAGGCCATGGACAATTGTCATACACCCCTCGCAGAATTTGTAGCTGTCGAGTATTAACGTTGTAGTTTGGGCATAGGATAATAAAAGCAATAATAATAATAATCACTAAAATATTAACATCAAAAAAAAAGTTTAAAATCATATAACTAAAACATAAAGTCTAAAATCTAAATTAAAATGCTAATCAAAACATGAACAAAATTTTAACCCAAACATTACTAAAATTCAAAATCTATAGTCAACTTCAACTTAACACAAATGTAAACTTAAAATTAAATTTAAACAAAACAAATTAAAGTTAAACTAAATGAAATTAAAACTTAAACCTAAACAAACTAAATTTAAGATTAAACATAAATTTAAACCTAACATAAAGATTAAAGCTAAAACTAAACATAAATTAAAACTAACTTAAAATTAAAATACCAATTAAAATTAAATTAAACAAAATCTAAATTTAAAATAAACCAAAATGACTTAATTAAAATCAAACCTACGACAAACCAAATTTAATATTAATTAAACCAAAATATAAAATAAAATAAATCTAAATCTAACTTAAATTTATTTTAAAAGAAAACCTGAAATTTAAAATTAATTTTAAGTTAACCCAAACTTAAATTTAAATAAAATCTTAATCAAACATAAACTAAATAATCTTTAAAACTTAAACTTAAAACAAACTTAACTAAAATCTAAACGTAAACAAATTAAACTTAGACTTGACACAATCATAACATAAAACAAATATTAAGACAAAAATTAAATATAAACTAAATGAAATTAAAAAAAAAACTCATATTTACATACATACCACTTAATTCTTGTATATAAAATATCTAACACCTAAATGTTATTTTACATACATGCCACCTTCTATATGCATGAAATGGTGTCGGTGTTAGATACGTAAATACATGCCTTAATGCATCCTTTAATCATGGACCTTGATCTTGATCAAGTGGATGAGAGTCTAAAAGGCTAAGAGTAGCTTCACATGGTGCTCTAACTTCTCCAAGAAATCCTACTCATCTGATATTTGATCAAAAGAGAAGTGTGGTGCCAAGCATATTAACCCACCAAGTGATACCCTAGCCCTTCACAAGAGAAATTCAACCTCCTCTCCATACAAAATTTTCGAAAAGCTCTCCTCACCCAACCAAAATTTCAAGGTCTCCTTCTATCAATTGAAATTTCAAGCTCTCTCCTCTTAGCTGAAGCTTCAAGGTCTCCTCCACTTCTTGGGCGAAAGTTCAAGGTGTCCTCTTCTATCGGCCAAAATTTGCAAGTGGTTCTACTCTTCCATTTGGTTCCTGTCCGAAATCATCAAGAAGGTAAGATTCCTTCACATTTTCTACCCTCAAACTTCTTTATTTGCTCAAAATTTTATAAATTCCATGAATCCATCTTCCAATGGGCTTAAATTAGTCACATAAATTTAACATGTGTTATACTTCTCATCCTCCAAAATCATTTTAATTTGGTTGTAACCATATGACTCATCCTTGAATGAAAAAGATTGTGTGAGAAGAGGTAATGTCAACCATAAGTTCCAGTACAGGCAACGGGAACTTATTTTTTGGTACATGCCTGTTTCAAATCTCTTAAGTTGGCGCAGACGCGACATTGACCATTCTTCAATTTCTTAACCAGTACCACACTTGTCAGCCACGATGGATATTTCTCCTCTCGAACGAAACCAGTGTCGATCAATTCCTTCATTATTTGATATTCAATTTCCAAGCACATGCGTCGAAGAGCTTGATTTGTAAAATAATACATTAAATTATACTTTGAGTTTAGAGATTATCACTTTTGGGGTAGTCCCGGCGTGTAGTTGGAATTAAATGACAGAATTCTCAAGTTTAAGAAATAATCTAACAAGATTTTTGGCTTCATTTTCAGTGTAGCTGTTGAGTTTGCCATAGAGCTTAGAGCTTGCCATGTGTTGATACGTCTCATAGGCCATGGGAGATGGTTAGAAATCGCTCGGAGCTTGTAGCTGTTGAGTGCTAACTTTATAATGTGGGTGCATGACAATCATTTGCACACACCTTGCAGAAGTTGTCGTTGTCTAGTACTGATACGTCTCATATACCTCTTTTCGTAGTGTCAGTTCCCTGAGCGTGACATCGTCAATTCTCCGTGCGTGACGTCAATTGCTCGAGCGTAAAAAATAAGCAAAAAAAATATAATTAGAGAGATTTGTTTTATTTATTTATTATTACTATTTTTTACTTTTATTTTGAGGATAAATTTTCTTATTTCATTTTTAAATTATTTTTACTTTTTTAATTTTAAAAACAAATTTACTTATTTTTCAAGAACACTCAAAATATCAAAAAATGATTTTAAATATTTTTTAAAAATAACTAAACAGATTTTATTTGAAGTAACAAAACAAAATAAAAATAAAAATAAAAAACAAAAAACAAAATCATAAGTGATCCCAAAGAGCCCATATCTTATCATTGAACAAGCATGGAATAAATTAAAAAAAAAAAAAAGCATCCCTCTACAAGCACAAAATAGGAATATTTCGCAGGCAACGCTTTCCTGAAAAGTTCTTTCAGTACAACATTCATAGAGAATCAACAAAATCACTAGCAGCACATCAAAACCACTAAAATTCTCATTTTCAGTACTTTGGACAAATAATGTTCATGGAATTCAAATGCATTCTAAAGCCTATTAAACATAACACTTATATAACAAAAACATGCTTTAAATGACCTGTAATAGTCCATTCTTAATAAATCACATCAAGTTAAACACAAAGATGACTTCTGCCTGGCTAACAGATGCTTCAACTGGCTTATTAGCTGTTGATTGCTGCACATAGAATCCTCAAAAGACTTCCTCAAACACTGCAGCAACTCTACATCGCTTTCGTTCGAGCGATTGTTAAGAAGAGTGGAGAAGAGATTACTCCATAATTCAGTTTTCCAATACCTATATTTTTGCCTGAATTAAACCCATAAAAAGTTGATGTTTTCTACTTTGAAATAGCTGAACTGGTCCTACTAACCTTTTGAAGGGTTTCTTAGGCTGATAATGAAAACTTCCGTCTGGATTCGCCTTTTTCTCGAGGGTCATGTATGATCCATGAAGCATCATGTGAACGATGACACAAAGGCCATAGGTATCAACCTGGTAATCAAGACAAGTTTATATAAGCTTTTAAGTTTAGAGAATGATAAGGATCCCGGGTATGAAGAATTTGTGACCTGATACGTCCAGGGTTTATTTTCCTGCATTTCCACACAGCTGAAGCCAGAAGTCCGGCAGTCGCCGGTAAACTTAGTTCCGGGAGGGAATAGGTTCAGGTCAATACCCCTTCCCCAATCAACAAGGCATAAACCCTACTAAGGAATAAACATAAATGATATAAGAAACCATAGCACAATTCCATTCAAAGAAAGGCTAGCGCTAAGTCTAAGCATGGCAATCCATCCTTCTTATTATGGCTGTCAAAATAGCTCGTTGTTCGCGAACACTTTGAGTTTGGCTCGTTAAGAAGCTCGTGTTTGATTTATTCGCTAAACAAATAAGCCTAATTGAAACAATTTTTTTGTGTTCATATAAACGAGCCAAACACGAACAAAGATTTGTGAGTTCGTGTCCGACTCGTTTTGGCTTGAAATAGTTAAATTATATATATATATATATATATAATATATATATATTGATGAGAAGTATTTTTTGAATAATTTAATTGACTATGAAGCTACAAAGATTTATAATGAATTAAAATTGATAATTAGAAAAATAGAATAAAAATAAATTAAATTATAGTTAAACCTCGCCCCAACCCTTAACTTCCTAGTGTTGCATGACTGAGATTGTCAAAACGGTTCTTTGTTCGTGAACAGCTCGTGTTCGACTCGCTCAGCAAACGAGTTGAACACGAACAAATTTTTTGTGCTCGAAAAATAAATGAGCTGAACACGAACAGTGGTATTTTTAAACGATCCAAAAACAGTTCTTTATTCGACTCGCTCGTGTTCGGCTTCTTTACACCCCTACTTTTTACATTCAAGAAACAAATATAAAACATTGGAATTAGGGGTGTAAAAGAGTCGGGTTGAGCCACCCTCAACTTGAGCTTAAACTTGATTAGTAAATCGAGTTTCGAGCTCCAACTCGAGCTTAATTCTACATGTTCGAGCCGGCTCACGAGCCAACTTATTTATTATGAAAGAGATAAAATAATATTAATTTTGAGCTAATGTTATAATAAGATGATAAATAGAATAAGGAATTAGAAGATAAACAATAGGAAATCAGTTAACATAAAACATAAAATATTAGTTTTAAATATTTCTAGTAATTTAGAGATAAAGCCTTGAATTTTAACCTATTTTGAGTATGTTTTACATTGATTATTTTTTAAAAGATTTGGCTCACAAGTTAATGATTCGAGTCGGGGTTGACTTGAGCTTGGTTGTTAGTTCATCAAGCTTCAGTCGCAAGCCACTTATCGAGTTGAGCCCGAGCTAGCTCATGAGTTGGCTTGGCTCAATTACACCCCTATTTGAGATTAAAGGTTTGGGGACGAGGACAATAGAGAGGGGGAGAAGGGAACCTGATCAGCCCAATTTCCAGTTCTAGTACTGAATCCATCTGCCTTTAATTCTTCCCTGCCACACAAATAACTCGTTGCATGAGACATTAGTAAGAAACAGCCTCATTTAAAACATCCTAAGGAGTCGGCAGAAAAGAAAAAAAAAGTATTTTTAAACAAGTGCATTTCAATATTTAGAGAGTATTGATAGCACTTGTCATTAGAGGTCACCGAGGTGCTTGCATGAGTGCTCGGGCTAACAAAACCAGGGTAAAATAACTCACATAACTTCTAGGCAAGCGTCGTTATTATTGCACTGCTTAAGGAATTTCTTGCCATAATGCAGATGATGCAGAACTAGTGCTCATACTTGGAAAACAAGGATGTACTCGTTAAAAAAAGATTAAATAAAAGTGTGCATGTGTGAAAGGTTTCTTGGCTTAGTTTTGGTAAAAGTTTGTTTCTTCAAGGTTATGAGTTTGAACCAAACATTTTACAATTTATTGCTTGTAGCTTGAATATTTCCTTGCTTAAGAGGTGCAACAAATAGCTTAACTCCATATTGCATTCTAGATTTATTACAAACCCTAACCCTAAAACATCATATACCAATGTACTTCAGGAGAAAGAAAAATAGGTGGAATACAAGAATCTTAAAAAAAGAATGGATGATAAAATCATGAAATAGATACTATCATACATAAAATTATTTAACAGCTATGCATTATACAAACTTCAATAATTTAACTTTAAAGTTCCTTCAATGTTTTTTGGACTAATTTTTAAAGTAACATAACTACGGAAGATTTTAGAATCGTGCATACAAAAACAATTAAATTGTGAGTTATTCTGCCACTCAGAAGGGGTATGTTTGTTGGAGCTCAATAGAGAAGTGATTTTTTGTGAGTCTAAATCGGCCATTAGAGAATTTGAACCATACTATACCTTGGAGGTGACCTCATCCTTTGGTGACTCGTCAGATGTTGAAGGTATAAGGCGAGAGGGGGAGAGTAGTGATGGTGAGAGATTGGTACAGGTAGGAACAATGCTTTGTCCCTTTGTGTGGGAAGGATCGACTGGGAAAATGAGTAAAATAAGCCTGAATGTGGTGATAATCAAGCTCAAGAAGGGCTGAGGGTGCACAGAAAGAAGAAAAGGTAGAATGAACAATGCTTCGTCCCTTTGTGTGGGAAGGATCGACTGGGAAAATGAGGAAAATAAGCCTGAATGTGGTGAGAATCAAGCTCAAGAAGGGCTGAGGGTGCATAGAAAGAAGAAAAGGTAGAATGAGGGAACAGTGCCAGCCGTTCCACTCGTGTCAACAAGTCTCTTGTCCCGACCTACCTCGACTCCTGAGACACTTACACCATCCACCTTGGAATTTGATTAGACAAGTGATATGATTCCTCTCTTCTTCTCTAACTCCCATGACCTTGACGAGGATCTCTCGCAGTAATGCGAGTCATCCTCCTGATTGTTATTTTCCTGATCAGATTGGTTCCTCACATGACATTGACCTATTTATCTCATACTCTAACATATCACCTTTATCTTAAGCATTCATTGCATCCTTGGGAGTTGTCTCTATACCCAAGTGTTGGCGGGTAACTAAAGAGGATTCAAAATGGAAAATTGTAATGTTGGAGAAACTTGGTCCTCTCGATAAGAATAGGACATGGGAGCTCGCATTGCTATCAGCAGGGAAAAAAATAGTTGGGTGCAAATAGATCTTCACAGTGAAACAGGTCTTACAAGAAAAATTGATCGCTACAACACACGGTTGGTGGCGAAAGAGTATAATTAGACGTATGACATCGACTACGATGAGACATTTGCACCAGTGAAAAAGTTAAACACAATCAGAACACTCATTTCTCTGACTGTGAATGGTGGATGGAGGTTGCATCAACTGGATGTAAAGAATGTGTTTCTTCATAGACATCTACTAGGAGGTGTGCATAGAGATACCCCAAGACTTTGACACGAACCAAAGAGTGGGCAAGATATGTGGATTAAGAAAATCACTGTACTGTTTGAAACAATCTCCTTGGGCTTCATTTGATAGGTTCAGAAAAAGCAATCGTAGGCATGGGCTATCACCAGATCAATGCCGACCATACATTATTCTTTCAATGACATGGTGGTCACATTACCATTCTTGCTATATATGTGATTGATATGATTGTCACTAGCGATGATGAGAGAGATTGCTTAGATGAAGGCAAGTTTGGGAAAAAAATTTTGAGGTGAAGGACCTGGGACAACTAAGATACTTCCTTGGAATTGAAGTAGCTAGTGAAGTAGAGGTGATTGTTCTATCTCAGAGAAAGTATGCGTTATACTTGCTCACATGGACAACATGTTGGGATGCAAGCCTGTAGTTTCACAAATTGATCAAAAGAGAAAATTGAGTGTAGAGACAGAAGAGTCAGTTGATAGTGAGAGATACCAGAGGTTGGTAAGTCGTTTCATTTATCTGAGTCACACTAGTCCCGACATACCATTTACAGTAAGTGTGGCGAGTTGCTAAATGCATAATCTGAGAAAGGGTCACATAGATGCAGTATATTAAATTTTGAGGTAGCTGAAGAGTGCACCAGAGAAGGGGCTGATCTTCAGAAAGATGGACTGTCGGCGTTTAAAAAGAAGGGGGGAGTTACGTTTGGGGGTCGCCCGTAAGAAGCTGTCGGTCGCCGGAATCGAAATCCCGTCACCCGCTTCGGAAGGACTTTTTAATTTACATATATATATATAATTTTAGAAAAATACGAAATCAAACTGACCTCATATTTTTCACAGTTTAAATGAAAGAGCGCTCTACCTCAAATCCTGTATCTACCCCGAAGAATAAACACAAGACCTGAGGATGAAGCTAGATCAAATAAACTAAGAAAGATATGACGTCCGTTTGGGTCTACGAAACCATTTTATTTGCCGACAAGTTCCCCTATTTAATACAAATAATTAAATAGGGTTTATTTTAAGCTGGGTTCGGAAAAGCTCCCTATAAGGGCAAGCCCCTATAGTTAATTACATCTCAAATGACCGAAGTCACCTAAGAAAACTCTCGATAAAAATCAGGGAATAATGTCTTCAAAGAGGTCAAAAGGATAGGACTTTACAACGAAATCGGACGAAGAGGTGTGAAGGGGAAAAGCTCAAATCTGGAACATTGTTAAGGAATCCAAATGAAGAGAAACTAGGGGAAGCCACAGATCTTGAGGAGAACCTCAGTGACTTCCCAGTCTATCCTATGATTTGGCTCCAAGTTTGAGAAGAAAAAATAAAAGTGTTTTATCCCGCCAATTTTATTTAATTAGGGCTTATATTTGCGTGACAGGGTCACTCAAATTGCCTAGAAGATATGAGG